CAGCAGAATGGAAAACATATGGAACATCTTTTATGATATGAATATAATTATTACCGTAATATTTGTTCTTTCTTTCGGAATTCCATCTCAGAGGTAGTTCGCGAGATCGTTCAACGCAAAAACAACCAGTTGGAAAAGAATCAATAAGAGTTTTTCGTGGGCCTACATTAGGAGATATTGTTGTCCGTTATTGAGACAAGTTCAAAGTTTTATTATGATTATCTTTTCACCGAACTCGCTTCGAAAAATAGTGCTTGTATCTTAGACTAGTCAAGCGTTGACCTAGTGTCATCATCTGTTCAGCATTTTCCGTTCGGAATTTCCTACATGGCGCACCGCTCCGCAACTGATTCTCATCTGGTTATTCTCCACCAACACTTAGACAGCATCGGATTCGGAACCCGTCCTCCTCCTGTGCCAGCCCGAAGATCACACGACCGTTCTGGTTCATTTATCGATCGGTCGAATGGTTCAACCGCAGCAAGAGTGCCCAGCTAACCCGAGCGAGAAGCCACATCTTGTTTACAGCCGTGAGTCTCAGGCAGGTCCAGTGAACTTTGACCGTGCAGCAGGAGTGCCATCAGCACACGGATGGACTAGACGTGACAACAAGAGTATTACAAAACGTACAAGCCGATACTCAGACAGTCTCGTGTTGGAATGAGGGAATTTACTTGTTTAAGGTCACGGGTGAGAGGGACGAGATGATGGTAAACGATGGAGCAATCGCATTGTACAAGGTTATGAATGGGTTGGGAACATTTTGAATATGACTACTAATCAACTGACAATAGGGGAGGATTTGCTTCACTAATGTGGTGAATTTCGTTGTGTATGGAACAAACGGTGCGTAAACTGAACAGTTAGGAGGCACTGTAAAGTGGTGTGTGTTTGATTCTCAATCCATGGCATCCCAGTATCGAGACCCATTCGAATGGAAACAGCAATTCAGTGTTTCCTGGAACTTTAGTCCACACTTCGTTTGCTCTGTACTCGGCGACCCTCTAGGTTTAGGGATTTACTGCTGAAAAGAACGTTTAACGCTGTAAATGTATGGTTGATTTAAGTACAAACTTGAAAATCACAAAAGCCAATGAACGCCGAATTCATGGTATACAGAGTAGATTTCAAACGTCTGAAAATTGTGATGAAAACGAAGTCGACGGGATGAAGAGGAACGTCATACAGGTAGTGGTACCCACCAGACAGAGTATGAATAAATAAATAAATAAATAAGTACATGAGAGTGCTCGTTGGGGGGGAACTGCGAACCAGTTAGAATTCAGCTAAATCTTGATCAGCTAAACAGACCACGAGAAACGAGAAACAAAAACGGATAGGGGCGGACCGTAAAGTGCATTTCGATCAACCTTATTTGCCAAGCAAAACAGACCTGTCGTCTGGTGTCTACGTGCTCGGTCTTCGGCCGCGAACGCCTCTTCCTCTCGTCGATTTCCCGGTTTAGGTCGGACGATCGTGTCTGAATCAGATATTGCTGGAGCAATTGCAGCTTGGGCTCGTTCTTTGGCAAGCATCTCTTCAACCTCTTTAAACGGATTGATAAACACCTCGCATGTGATTATCTGAATCTCCTCCTAGAATAGAAATAAAAATAAATGACAATAATTGACGGGTCGTAAAACAACTGGGATAAGTTCCGAAGCAAGCAAAATCCTATCCCGTCTGGTTTGCAACTCCGAGGTGACGAATGATCAATTAAGAAACAATTTATAAAAGTGCACGTGTGATCAGTTTACATGAAAAAATCCCGCCATCTAGTGTATTGGTTACATATGTCGGGAGCCTTTTTTCTGTAGTCCAATTGTGCGTTCTTCTAGCGACTGACGTTTGTTGTTGTGTTTAGCGACAAAACGCGAAGTTAACAGTGAATAGTTATAGGAAGGGATGAACCGAACAGTCAACTCAAAAGTAACAAAATCAATCGACGACCCAGAGGCATTTGGTCATTGATTTTTTAATCCATCTGTAAATGATGTCTCTGGTCATCCACGCACGTCTGCTAGCATTCAAATCAAATCCCAATAATGCCGGGCTCACGTGTTTAAAGCACCGCGCAGTTTAAGGTTTTCCGATGACCAATGGTCTCAGTTCCCAGTTTTGCGCTTTCCCTTATGGGAACAGTTGAATGCCTTTCACACCAATTAAGTGATAACGAAGCAGTCCAAAATTTAGCTTTTATGGCCCAAAGTACAATTAAAAAACGAAAACTCACTAGAGGACGATCATCTTTATCTGTCTCCAGCATTTCCACTTTGTTCAATGTCTCCATACCACCAACGACTCTGAGAAACAGAAGATAAAACTTGTCCTCAAAAACCTACTTTCCAAACACCGTGTGCTTTTTGTCCAAATGTTTGCAAGTTCGAAATGTGATAAAGCTGAACAGTGGAAAGAAAATGAGAGAGCAGTTTAGATGGGGTGTATCACATCCGCTTACAATTGGGACTGATTCGTATTCGGACCGGNTCAGTTGTGGCATGAATTCATCCTCGAACGGTTTGCCCCAAATCGACTCCCCTCCGAACCCGGTTCCGCTAGGATCTCCACCTTGAATCTAACGCCCCAAAATGAAGTTGGATAAATCAGACAAGAAGCAACGAAAAAACTGACCATAAAATAGCGAATTAGGCGGTGAAATATTGTTTCATTGTAGTAACCTGATTCACAAAGACGAATGAAATTTTCGCATGTTTTGGGGACGAGATCGCAGTGCAACTCTAAATTCAATTTGCCATGGGATGTGATTAGGCTGACATAGCCTTTAGTTTTCACGTATTTATACCGAACCACATCGTCCTCCAGAATAGCTAATGAGAACATATATTCAGTAAATATTGAGAGATGTTCTTACCTGGCTCCACTTTGGTGACCGGCTCCATTACAGTCGAAGTGAGGGATGCAGCAGCTTTACCGGTCGAGTAGGTAGCCTAGGAGAATGTGATAAAGTACTGCACATATTGGTTGAGCTTACCGTGTTGAACACATCCCGCTTTTTACCCAAATCAGCCTTTGCGGATTTGTTTGAATACATATAATCCGGTACTTTTATCTCTTTTGGTAATTCAGCTAAGGTTTCTTTTGTTTCCTGGTTCAATTGCCGAATAACGACCACATTTGAATCATCTGTCGTTCATAGATGAGTGTCACACGATAAGGAACGAAAAAACTAACTTTGTTCCTCTTCCTTGTGCTGAACATGATAAAACATGCTGATGTTAAATTTGTCCAGATTTTGTGGATCCTGAATGGTGATGATGTCATCCCGCGTAAACGGCTCCGAGGTGAGAAGATCCAAGTAGTTGTTCGATTTTATGTTTAACCGCTCTACTGCCTGGACAAAATAAAAAGCGAATGAGCCACACAAGTGATGCCGTACCTCGTAAGCATACACATTGCCCGTCACTTTGATGGCCACAATGTGTGTATTCTCATTGAATACTTTAAATGTGACCGGGCAGTGAAATTTCCCATCCGAGTTGCGATGAAAAACTAGCTTGATCAATTCTCCAGCCTTCATTTTCTACAATGGAAAACGATAGGCCCTGTGGCGAGACATTAGAAATACCTTCCCGGTCACCGGGTTGACACCATGTTTGCGAACAAACGGCAATATACTCCTAGGGGATATAAATGTGTTGAGATAATGAGATAAGAACTTGCTCACTCCAAATCAAAAATGATCCCCTCTTTTGTGCAGTATGGGTTTTTGAATGGCTGAAATGTGATGCTGCATCGACCACGAGTGGATTATGCTGGGTGAAAAACACTTTACCTGCAACAGTGAAATGGCAATCGTTTGAATCTCCGGTTGCTTTCTGCTGCCCGTTTTCCACCGTACAACGTGCTCCATTCCGTGCAGGTTACATAGCTGAATTTGAAATCAGAAAATGAGGACAAAAGGAGTTGAATCTACTTACAGTTTATCCTTTTGATGCTGTTTCTTACCCATGATTGTGTATATACCGTAACAAAAGACGGTATGCAAAATTCAGATAAAGCAAAACCTGAAATGTGGATAAGTTGACTTCGAATGACTGGGTTTAACGAAAAGATAAACATAGTATAGTAATGATGCAATAGCTGATATTGTTGTTCTTTAGAAAGGTTTGAAAAAACACTGTTTACGATGCAATCAAAAATATGGTACACGTCAATAGATCATATGGATCTGACCGAATCTAGCCCAGAAATCCGTCTTGTTATTCTGGGTGATCAGATAAGACCACAGCAAAGGCAGTGACCTATTTAGCCCATAGTCAGCTTGGCTGCAGTTCACGAATAAGAGGAAAGCCCCTTAAACAGTTAACTGTGAATATAGCTGGATATCACAACTGAGTAAGCAGTCGTGAATGATCGGCAGCGATACCAGGGGATGTGCAGGGTGTTTCCAGTCAACCAGTTGACCCAGAACAAAAAACAACTGTCCGTAGAAATAATCGAGGCATGTGCCAATCTAGCTCAACAACAAAACTCCTGGGCTAAATATGGGAGACGGAACAAGTTTCAACTGAATGATGTGATTCATAATCGTGCCTGTACAGATCATATAAGGGTTTGTCTTTAGTGGGGACACATTTCCACGCTGGGTCAAAGGGTCATTTGGGATGAGGAGAGGAGAGGGGAGAGGTAAGCTCTATG